GAGATTCCTCATGGGGTATGTATGTTCTTTCATGTGGCGAATGGTTCCTTTACTTATTTCCTTCACCTACTCGAGATTATCTGGTCAGAGGGTCAGCGTCAATTGTGAATCTTCGAAGGTTATTCCACATATTCACAATTGTCGAGATTGAGGGAGTGAACAGAAGGGAATAAGAGTTGCTCCTCCGATTACCATAACCGGAACTCTTTTGGTTCTACCGCAGCTTCGCCCTTGACAATATTTGGGTCGAAGTCGAAATGTTAGATGAACAGCTTCTTCCGAATAGGATCGAGCACAGAAATCTGATTTGCCTTATCTAAATACATCGTCATGCTGTGTACGCAGCTGTTTTGCTAACAGTTATGGAATGCCCCCATCCCTTTCCATTACATCTGAAATATATAAATCTCTGCTTTCGTTTCCGTTGAGCGAGTTCGCCAGATGCACATTATCTAATTGTAAGGCAGAAGTACGGTGAGTAACGGGTCCGCAGGCCATCTTTAATCAGGTTCATTAGGCTGAGTGTAATATCCCCTTTTTCTCATTAGACCCTATTATAATGAGACTGTAAGCAAGGGTTCCAGATGAGACATATCGTAATGTCTTCCCCATAACTTCATCGGTCATGATTATAAATTCCCTTTTGGAATATGTAAATAATGGAGCATTTTGAGATTGCTGGTCTCCATCCAGGAACACTGTACGGATGTAACGGTGTTCTCTACAAAGAGAAAGATATCGACCGCGTGTCTGCCGTCTGCCTCTACCAACTACGAAGAGCTTCATACATAGATTAGTCAAAACTCCATTGAATTTATAAGTAACCTGGGACAACAATAAAAGACTTGCATCATTTCCTCGATTCCTTATCCGGGGACTTCGTTGGGTGCGCTTCGTCGCGCGCGTCCGTCGAAACNAACAAATGTTAATCGTTCGCTCCACTGACACTTGATGGTACTGTAATGCCATCTTGAGACCTCAGTGGGGTGCGCCGCGCGCGAAGTGGGCGGGGTGACCTTATTTCGACGGACGCGCGCAACGAACGTTCTCCTTAATTCTACACCACTTAACCTCTCAGACAACTTTCGAAGAAACTCTAGCTACATTGGGCTATGTCTATTGATTATCAGCGACGTTCTCTTTCCGAAGACTTGTTTTTGAAGACCGGCTAGTTTCGATAAGGCTAAGTGAGGAACAAATCTTTTCTCAACTGCAGAAATACCCACCAGGCTGGCCACTTTTACACGGACAATTCAGATGTCTTGCTCGAATTCAGGTTTCAAGCTGAGCACAGCCTTGCAGGATACCAATCTTCCGCTGAACACACTCGCATCCTTGAGCGATTGCGTACCTTTTGATTCGCAAAGCACCTACTAATTTCTCCCTCCTGCCATCTCTGACAATGTTGACAGGAAAGGGCTATCAACTATGTAACCAACCACTTCAGATTTTTTCTGGTAGACTCTTCCCCTCGGAGTAGAAACTACATGTTTCCCTTATTTTAGTAATTTCATATGATACCATCATGAAATTATTGTGCCGATATGAGAAAGAGGGAAAAATGTGAATTCGTTGGAACGAAGTCGAACCCTCTACAGCCAGTCTAAGTCATGACGTTGTGTATGTATCCTTATGAATGTTCTTGATTCTCAGCGGAACCGCACAATAGTTCGATGTTATTCCATTCTACGAATTGCTAAACTGAATATTACTTACTTTATTTACTTCGATCAGAAAAAATCATAAAAGTGGATTCTGTTTTAAGAAGTCTGGATCAGAGGCGACAATTTTCGTGATCAGAAAGGAATGTACATTGAAAGCGACAGCTAACACTTCATCGCACTCGATATCCTGAAATATACTAGCTACTGCTGGCTTGTTACACGATTAGACTATCAAAAACCGGTATTTTTACCTTCGATTCCAATTTTCCAGGGTTGAGCGATCGCTCATCTTTAAACATAAATTGTACATGCACTTTTCCGTCATCTGATGAAGAATGAAGATCCCGGAAGCGGTAGTGCCATACATAACTCTAGAAAAGATTTCGCATATGAAAAAAGGATACATACGCAACAAATCGTTAAGATTAACATCCTGCTGTACGAACCTTTGTAGGGATGTCATATAGACTTATTCCTTGCTTTATATCGAGCACTAGCCCACTTGGACGTCCTTCGAAACTACACGCAAATGTTCGACTCTGCAGATAAACAGCATTAATCATTCCGAAGACAAGTGTAGCCGGCAACTGTCGGAGAACACAAAGCGAAGGCTCCAACTTCTCTCTTGCTTTGAAATCGGCATAGTTGTTCATGATTGAGATATTTTTGTGCCGTACGAGGTTGTTAGGTGGAACAATTTATTTAATCAAGGGCCTAACATTTCGACGCAATCGCCTTCTTCAGAATCTACTTCGCTACTGACAGTTGCCTGCGGCGACAGCGGATGTTCTCCGCTCATGCAGTGGAACCCTGGACTTTGAAGAAGACGAATGTGTCGAAACATTAGGCCGTTGACTAAATAAATTGTTCCACCTAACAACCTCGTACGGCACAAAAGTATTTCAATCACAAAACGAAGTATAAAGGTTTGTTTTTGATATGTACACATGTATCAGGGAGTATCGCAGAATCGAGACTTCGTAGCAAAAGGAGCTGTGCTGACTTGACCTATCCTTTGGATGAGCAAGTTGACATAAGCCGAATTCCTCTACCTCGAAACGCAAGAGATGCGGTCTAGTACATAAACTGCACAACATGTCCCATCAAAACGCCAACCCATTTTCGCTCCGGTTATTCTTTTCCCTGCTCAACTGTTTGTTAGGAACGAATACTCCATCACTGTGCATTTTTACGATCAATTAAATTGTTTAAAGGCTCCATGTAATCTGTTTAATTATTACCAAAATCTGGGCGGAGGTGGTGTAGAGGCAAGGGGCACACTTTATCACACGCACGGTCAGGGGTTCGAATCCCAGATCGATGCCGTCTAAGCCAACCAAGCCTTCCATCCCTTCGGTGTCGGTGAATTGGTACCAGCATCCCTCTGACGGGATTGATTAACGCCGAAAACTTTATCCTTTATTTTTTGTGAGAACTCGAACCAGAAATATGAGATATCGCTGACAACGTTCTCACCTACCATGACTTCGACTGACCACAGCTTCGTACGGAGAATAAACCGCCAACATATGAAGAGAACGTTTCACTTTGCCCTTCATATATACTCACTTATAATAGGCCTTACCTGCATTGCGATGACAGCCGTATAAACGCTCTTGTAGTAGGCGTTGACGAATATCTCAAGCATGTGTGGTGTCTCGTAAGACAGATAATGTCTCAAACCATCTGATGTGCAAGATTCCAAATAGAAACAATTCTCACGCTTGTCTAAGCGACGAGTGTCGTTAGGGACCTTAAATCTGTAGCTAAAACTATTTATAGCTTCCCTCGAAATCATTTATTCCCCAGTATCCACTGATAACGGGTTAGGTTAGAGTATGGGACTTCAATGAGTCTACATACCTGCTTGATAGCAACGTCGTAGCATTTATAGAGATAGAGGCACTTGTTCAGATCTTCAGAACTCAACTGGAATAGAAAAACCAGCAGGTAGACTTTACATCAATAAATGTATGTACATTTCAAAGACTTTCTTATTTACCGGTGGACTATCAAACATGCAGACATCGCCACCTTTGAGAATCAGGAACCGTGGTTTCCATTTTTGCTTAGGATCCTCTGATATACCCTCACTCATGTACTCGTTTACCCATCCTATGTAGGAAATCTGAAAAAAAAATATAACACCTCGAAATGGGTGCCTCTCCAAGGACAAGCCGAGATTATTCGACGGACCTGTTCGCTTTGATGTAAATACTTGTTGCTCATTTTGATACTTTTTTGGTTGAGGGACTGGATATGATTGTTTATGTGCCCAATCCATTGCTCGAGAGCCCGGCCATCTTCGCAGTGTATGATGCCAGTGGATGATCCGTCAACTGCCCGTACTTCGAAAGAGTTCGTTCTGAATTTGTTCACACTCCGATATTGGATTAATTGCTGAATCCACATGTATTCCGTATACGGACTTCTATTTTCCATGGCAAGAAATGAGCAAAAACCATTCTCGTATTCATGGCCCTTCTCAGCACTAGATTTCTTCTCAAAAATTGTTTATCCCAGTGTTTGAAGAAGAACATCAAAATCATTACAGGTTTGATTCTGGGTTTAGTTTCTAGCGCCGTTATCTACAAGGGTATTCGAGCATTCTCTAACCGGAAGCAATCTTTGAGCTGGAGACAGAGATAACTTTGCTTAACACAGTGAAGTAGGGAGCTCGACTAAGTCAACCTCGAGAATGCTTCGTTTAATAATATTTAGAAGGACAAGGTAACAAATAACTGTGGAAGAGGCGAGACCCATTTTTCATAGAATTCCTTCCAGCTGCGCCATGATCAGGCATAAAGGCATTTCATTTGGTTCTCTGTAGACAAGCTTTTGTCAGCACTGAACTGTCACATTATCAGCACTGCCGGCCTATTCGATTGCTTTGCATTTTGACTTTGGGCATGTAGAACCGTGCTATATGTATACCTTAGCGCTGGTACGCAAGTATTAGTTTTGTAGCTGCAGAATTGGAAGAGTTGCAGCTATTGAAGTGGATCCTAAGCGGAGCAGTATAACATACCTGATGTTGTCTGTTCCCCAAAGATATCGAGTGAGGTATGCCATTGGTAGAGGAATGACTGTTACTGTTTTCCACTTCTCGTCCTTGCCTTCAGCTCCCAATGATCTCTCTCTCCCATTGTAAATACCCAAATCGGACTGTGCCTTCATTGCGGACTGAATAGACTGGATTATAGTCGGCATCCACTTGAAGAGATAGGATAAGATTGTACAGGGCTAGATGAATTATTTCGCAAAGGCACATGCTCATTTTCATCCCAGAATGGTATAGACTCCGGAACCACCCTTTAGATTTGGATTGTTCAGAGATTCGTAAAACTCTGCATTCAGGCAGTTCTCCAGCGGATTCAATAACATCATTTGGAAAAAAGCAAGAAATGTTGATGGGTTGTAATAGAAAACATTTGAT